GGCACTCTAGTGTCCAATCCTCTTTTACCTTCGAGTCACGAAAGGCGAACTCGCCAATCTAACTCTTCAGGTTCAAGAAGATTGAACAGGGGAAGTTGTTGTAACCAAAAATTTGCCCTTTCATTTTATCAAGATTTCCCCTCACAAGACTCTTTGGACTCCAGACAAGATTAGGGTTTGCTTAGCTCAAGACATCTCCTTGCACTGTTGACCTGAAATTAGGGTTTGAGTTTGCACAGGGATTTTTGGACTCTCAATGTTTAATGTGACTTTCATACTTCATGTTGGACTTATAATATTGCCCATACCAACTTTCAAGCCTTGAATCAAGTTTTTGCCCAGTCAATTGGACAGTTGACCTAGAAATCAGCTATATTGGGGAAAAAGTCAATTGTGACCAATTTACAGTCAAACCTCATAATTTTTTATCCACATCAACATTATAGACTCATATTAACCATTTGATCAAGTTTGGACCACAGCTCCTCAAGAAATTTGATCAGATCACCAAAAGGGCAAAATGGTCATTTTTAGGGTTTTGACTGTATAAGGGCAATTTCTGATTTTTAACCTAGCCAATGGAAAATTAGGTTCAATCATGGATTCAAGGACTCAATGGCATCATCTTGACCTAATCACAAGGTTCAAAAGATCTCAAATGCATTAGATTGACAAATGAATTTTCCAGTCAACTGATCAAAAATCAATTGTACACTGAAAAGTCAAACTTTGACTTTTTGGTCAAAATCAAGTGCCAAGGGTCATTTTTCATCAAGATATGTCAAAACATGAAACTTGTTCATCAAGAAACCTAATTTTGAAAATTAGGGTTTAAAATGGAAAATTTTCATAACTTAGAAAATTTCTAAGTTATGAAAATTTCTTATTTTTTCCCAACTTTTCCCAACATTTTCACCATGATGCAATTGGATTCAAACAAAACTTTCAACATGAAAGTTGTATTCCTCCACAAAATCTACAACTTTGATTCATAAAGTTTTCCAAAAAGATGCTTGGATCTCAAGTTATGATTTTGTGAACAAGGGTCCATGAAACTTTTAACTTAGTGAAATTTTGCCCTAGTTTAGGCAAGATTTTGACCTATCTTCGTGGAAATTTTTCACATAGTTCCAATTGGAATCTCAAATTGAATTTCAAATATGTATTGTAGAGCATGTTACAAGATTTCCAAAATATCCAAGAACTCTCCAAAATCATTTATGGTTAGGGAGAATCGAAGGTTTGAATTTGACAAAATATCACTTTGGTCCATGGCATTTTTCATGTTGACACAAGTTGCAATTTCTGTCCAGCCTTACTTGTACTTGTTTACAGGTCCTTAAAACCTTCCACACTCAAAAATTGAATGCAAACACAATGGATTAAGGCTTTGTTCTGAGCTTTAGAAGATTACACATTGAATTAATCCATTTTTGGCAAAAAGGCAACAATGCCATTTACATAAAGCACAACTTTTGCAAATTTGTTTCTCTTGAGCATTGCACCAAGCCTTTTGTAGCAAACCAACTCCACAAAATTAGGCAAAGGTACACCAACTATCAGCATGCTTGGAGCTAGCCTGTACAGGCCATAACATTGTCAACTCACTCTTTTCTTTAAAACCAAGTCAACTTGCAAAAACCACATAACTTTGGTATCTGTTATAATCAAGACTTGTAAACATTTCAAACAAGTTTTTGCATATCACACTAAGCCAGAAACACCAGCTAGCAAGTCCTCAAACCTTCCAAAACACCAAAACACAAGTTCTTGGCAAAACAGGGCAGGCCCTGCAGAATCACTTCCATCTTCACATCCACTCGTGCGTTTTGCTTGCAACCAGTTCCAACACACTCCATACAACCTACCTAAACTATCCCAACCATTCCCAAGTCACTGTAACTCCATTTACACACTTCACCATTTATGAATTTTGAGTTTGCAGGTTAAGTTCTATAGAGAGATTCAAGCAAGTTCAAAGCTAGCTAAGCATTGGGAAAGCTCAAAGGAACTTCAAGCAAGCTCACAAGCATCTCAGGCCCCACTGAAAACCCCTGCATTTCCATACTCGAGCTCGACTGAAACAAGTAAATTTCAAATTTCTATCTCTCTATTTAAGAATCATTAGGCTTAGGTTTATGAATAAAAAATGTAGTCCTCATTGCCCTTGAGCTGTACATATGCATAGAATTCATTTAAGTTAACTAAGCTGGGAGAATTTGAATGATGAACTTTCTGAAAAAACTAGGTTAGAAATTAGGGCCAGAGAAATTCTCTTTGGTCTTTGAGAGTTAGATTAAGTTTTTTACATGGTTAGAATCGTATGATCATGCTCTATAACTTTCATGTTGCAAGTTTTTGTTTTTAAGCACAAATGCAGGAGTTAACAATTTGAACAAGAAGCGCACGCTATTTAGTTCAGAGGTTAGGGACGAAGGCAATGTGGTCCGGGCTTGGTTTCTCCTTGCTTTTGACACCCCTTGGCTTGTTGTTTACACCCCCTTGACCCATTTGTTTATTTTTCCATATTTTTCATATCTTTTTAAGTTTCTGACTTTTTTTTAAAACATTAAAAATTACCAAAAATATTTTTCTTAAATTTTCATATTTTATTTTATTTTTTTATTTTGTTTTTGGCATAATATTTAGTTTATTAGGTTTAATATTTATTTTCTTAAATATAAACTTATAATTAATACAAAAAATATTATATTTTTATTTTTATTATTTATATACTTAAATGATATTTTTTCATATATTTTCATTTTTTAACATTTGTATATATTTTATTTATTTTCTTGTACATATATATATATATATATATATATATATATATATATATATATATATATATATATATATATATATATATATATATATATATATATATATATATATATATATATATATATATATATATATATATATATATATATATATATATATATATATATATATATATATATATATATATATATATATATATATATATATATATATATATATATATATATATTCTTAAAACAAATTAGGGTTTCCACCCTTAATAAAAATAATCTTTTATTTTTCCTATTTTTAGGACATTAAATAATTTATTTTTACATACATAAAAATAATACAAAAAAAATCATCTTTTGCATATTTATATTTAATTGCTTATTTAAATATTTGTCCATTTATTTATTTGTACAAAGAATTCAATATGGTTGTAATAATTTTAGGGTTTATTTTTGAGCAATATCCCCTTATTCAAACTTGTACCCCTCTCCCCATATCAATGTTGTAATAGTCGTAGATTTACTTTTACGCACTTTATCGCTTTCAAATATGCATGATAGAAAGATTAGGGTTTATATGATAACCAAAACCAAACAAATAGCTTGACCTAACACAAGACAAAAATGCATGAAAATGACAACACAATGCACACAAGCACCCCTAGGGTTTCATCCACTTGTTGCCTTAAAAAAAACCTGGCCATGGTATGCATGCTAGGTATCTTGGCCAAAATCAAACAAAAAACAAAAGATCATAGTCTCTCGATGACGCTATCTAGGTTGCCTATACAAAATGATCTAGTCCCTCAAAAACTTGCTAAGATACTTGGCACTATTGCTATCATGGTCATACGATGACCCGCGCCTGTCCCGTTTAACATCCAAACACAAGGTTGTTTACCAAATGCAATGGTAAAACAATAATGTCAAAGGGTTAAAAATGTAGGAAAGAATTTTGAGTAGGTAGGTAGATGCTCCTAGTTACTTGATCAAACTTGCAAACATCCTTGCTATTTCCAAAAAACACATCACAACACAATTTCAAAACATTTCCCAAAACAAACTTTCAAACATTGAAACATTTTTCAAAAGACAATACACCTTTGTATACATTCAAACAAGAATCATTACAAAGGTTGCCACAACGATGGCCTCTTTTTAAAATATTTTCAAAACCACACAAGCACCATTTCAAACAATTGAAAAACAAAAGCAAGTGATCTAAAACAAGTAACTAAGAGTCCATGGAAAACCATGGATGAAAAGGGTGCTAGCACCTTCCCTTTTCATAATCTACCCCCCGAACTCAAGAAAACATCTCAAAGGTCTTTCTTGTACTTTTTGACCTTTCTTTTGGATAAAATAAAAAGTCGGTGGCGACTCTTGCTAAACCGAAACATTTGTGAACACAAACGCAAAACCTCAAGTCAGTTCGCACACCGCATCACACATGGTCTTGTCAATTTTGTGCCATTGAATACTTATTGTATCTGAAGTGAAATCATGGAATAATTATACTCTAATACTGAAACATATATGAATGTGATACTCAAACATGACATAACATTAGCATCACGATTTTAATGTCCATGAGCAAGGTGGTTCTCTAAGTTTGTTCTAGATAACATCATTTCCAAGTAAAGTGTAAGATAAATATAACATAAGATAAAACAAAAGAAAGTTAATTTAACTAGTTCAAAAGGAAGTTTATTTAACTAGTTCACATTGTTCACGTACAGGTTATTTAAGGAAGTTTATTTAACTAGTTCACATAGTTCACATTGTTCACGTACATGTACCGATTCATGTACCTTACATGTAATCAGAACTCACTTGTTTAAACTTTAGAACACTAATTATAACTGTGTGGTGGATTAAGTCTCTTTTTTATCCTTTTAGACTTCATATAATATTAGTAAATTATTCACATCTCAATTTTAGGATATAAGACATCAAATAGAACTAATTGGTAAAGAAAGATTGTTATAATTTTTCTTTAGGAAATCGATACTAACCCCCACCCTCATAAATGAGTAGGCCCACCTCTAAAGAATTATCAAGGCATAGGCACCAACACATACTTCAGAGCTACAAATGTTATGTTCTGACTATTAAAATTTTCTAACTAAAAGCAAGATTTTCGGTTTCAACACAAAAGATTAATTAATATTTTGTCTTCCTTATATTTTTTTCTTCATATATGGTAGTCTCCTCGTAAACCCGATGGATAAGGAATGGACAAAGTTAAACCCAGCGAGTATAGAGTACGAAAATGGTCTTGATTTTTTCTAGATTATGCATACACCAAAAGAGAACCCCGTGGGAAAGAGATTTTGTGTCTTTGTGCTAATTGTTACAATAGCAAATGGTTTACAAGGAATGAAGTACGAAATCATTTAATCGCATTTGGATTTCAAAAAGAATATGATGTTTGGGTTCGACATGATGAGAAGAAACTGGAACCCGATGATCTTAATGATAATCATATTAATTAGGAAGAGGATAAAATTGATGATATTGATGGACTATTGCATGAAAGATTTAGAGAGGTTGTACAAGCAGAAAATGAAGTAAACGCAGGTCTCAACGAAGATGCAAAAAAGTTCTATAATTTAGTCGAAGAAGCCAAACAAGATTTGTACCCGGGTTGCAAAAACTTCTCTAAATTGTCATTCACCATTCGTCTTTATTTATTGAAATGTATTTATGGTTGGAGTAACGTATCATTCAATGCTTTCTTAGAGTTGTTAAGAGAAGATATGCCTTCATTGAACATCCCTAATACGTTCAACAAAACTAAAGGCATGATAAGGGAATTATGCTTGGATTGTAAGAAGATCGATGCTTACTCTAATGATTGCATGATATATTGGAAATCTCACGAGAATGATACTTCTTTCCATGTTTGCGGTGCTCCACGGTGGAATAAAGATGTAAATGGAAATGATAAAGTTGAAAAAAATCATAAGTCTTGTAATGTTCCTTCGAAAGTTTTGAGGCACTTTCCCTTGATTCCTATACTTCAACGACTATTTATGTGTTCAAAGATGGCTAGCTCATCATGGTGGCATGATGAAGAACGTTCAAAAGATGGGAAGTTGAGGCATCCTGCAGACGAAGAAGTCTGGACATAATTTGATAAATGCCATTATGAGTTTGCTGACGAGTCTCGTAATATAAGACTTGGGTTGGCCATCGACGAATTTAATATATTTAGAACCATGAATTTGTCTCATAGTACTTGGCATGTGGTATTAATACCATATAACTTTCCACCTTGGTGGTGCATGAAGGTTGAGTATTTTATGTTGTCTTTGTTAATTCCCATACCACGTTTACTGGGTAATAACATTGATGTGTACCTTCAACCATTGATAGAAGATTTGAAAGTGTTATGAAATTTGGGTGTAGAAACATATGATGCATCACTAAATCAAACTTTTCAAATGCGTGCATCTCTCTTGTGGACTAGTAGTGACTTTCCTGAGTATATTATGTTGAGTAGGTGAAGTACAAAAGGGAAACTAGCATGTCTTTATTGTAATTATGACACTAATTCTATATATTTGAATAATAGTAAAAATGTGTGTTATATGGATCATCGTGTTTTTTTTGCTAGAGGATCATAAATATAGGTTAAATGCTAGGAGTTTCAATGGGAGCATAGAAGATAGGCCACCACCAGAGCTGTTAACATAGGAACAAATCCCAGAGAAACTAAAGGACGTCAACAATGCTTTTGGCAGGTTGCAAAAGAAAAGTAATAATGGTCCATGGAAGAAAAAATTAATATTTTTGAGTTACCATATTGGAATCATAATACTCTACACCACAACCTAGATGTGATGCACATAAAGAAAAACAAATTTGATAGTATAATTGGAACTTTGTTGGTTATCCCAGGAAAGGCAAAAGATCATAAAACACACGTTTAAAATTGAAAGAAATAGGTATTAGAAAGAACCTTCAACCCAAAGAGGTAGATCAAGGCAGAAAGTAAGTGTTTGCAAAAGCATGCTTTTCCATGACTGCAAAAGATAAAACTACTTTTTGTTCTATATAAAATAAATGCAAAAATACCAGATGGTTGTGCTTTAAACATTTTAAGATGTGTTCAACTTTCTTAAAGGAAAGTTAGCGGATAAAAGAGCCACGGTGCACATTTCATGTTGCATTACTTGCTTCAAGTGGCAATGAGAAGTACAATGTCAAACCAAGTTGCACGCCCATTAATTCGTGTTTGTTTATTTTTTCGTTGTATGTGTTAGAAAGTGATTGGGGTGGAAGATTTGGATATCTTGCAATCTGAGATTGCAGAAACACTTCGCCAGTTCGCCAATTGGATATTTGTTTCATACAAAACATCGTGATGCTAGACGTAAAACACAAAACTGTGGTGTGACACTAGCGACAATAACTAAAAGTTTTTCAAGTACCAAAGATGAAAATCCAATAACACAATCAGTAACTTACTATGGATTAATTACATAAATAATTGAGGTAGACTATTATGGGAAGTTGAAGTTTGTGTTGTTTAGATGTGATTGGTTTGAATTTGAAGAGGAAAAATATGGGATGACTTGTGTTTACTTCAAAAGAGATGTTACATTGGTTTCTGAAGTCCACCAATGCATCTACATTCAAGATCCTTTTGGTGGAAATAAACATTATGCTATGTGTGATACGGTGGGAGAACTGACTTGAGGTTTTGCGTTTGTTTTCACACTTGTTCGGTTTAGCAAGAGTCTCCACCGAATTTTTATTTTATCCTAAAGGAAAGGTTAAAAAGCACAGGAAAAACCTTTGAGATGTTTTCGTGGGTTCGGGGGGTAGATTATGAAAAGGGAAGGTGCTAGCACCCTTTTCATCCATGGTTATCCATGGGCTCTTAGTTACTTGTTTTAGATCACTTGCCTTGATTTTCAATTGTGTGAAATGGTGTTTTGTGTGTGTGGTTTTTGAAAATGTTTTGAAAAAGATGCCTTGTCTAGGCAACCATTGTAACAATTCTTTACTCGAATGTTTTACAAAAGGTGTTTGTCTTTTTGAAAAGATGTTTCAATGTTTTTTTTTTAAAGTTGTTTTGAAAGTTGTGTTGTGGAGTGTGTTTTGAAAGTAGGCAAGTGTGTTTTGCAAGTTTGATCAAGTAACTAAGAGTTGTCTACCCCTAAATTTACTCAAAGATCTTTCTCATGTTTTAACCCTTTTAACAACATTGTTCCACCATTGTATTTGGTGGACAATCTTGTGTTAGGATGTTAACGGGACGGGCGCGAGTCATCGTTTAGACCATGAATGCAATGGTGCCAAGTGTCTTTGGCAATTTTCCTTTAAGGGACTATGATCATTTTTGTTTAGGCAACTTCGAAAGCGTCATCGAGGGACTATGATCATTTGATTTGTTTTTGTTTTGCCAGAGAAACTCAACATGCAAACATGGCCCATTTTTGAAGGCAACAAGCGGGATTACCCTAGGGGTGCAAGTGTGAATTGTGTATTTGATTGTCATGCATTTGTCTTGTATTAGGTTATCTAGCGGTTGATTTTGAATCTTCGCATACAAACCCTAATTACTATACAGTATATAGAAAGCGATAAATTGCGGGAATTTAAAGTCTAACCTATTACAAATAAGTATCCGGGGATGGGGGTACAAATATTTACAAATGGGGATGAGTCTTATCAGGAGAGTATTGTCCAAATAATATTTACAACCAAATCGAATCGCATTCTCAATGTAAAGTATAGCAAAGTATAAGAATCAAAGAGAAATAAAAGTATTTGTGAAAGTGTGATTATTTACAAATGAGGAAAATATGTTAACCTAATGTTCCCTTCTCCTTCTTCGTCGTTCTCTTCCTCAAGCAAAAGCCATTGAAGTCTCTCTCTGTCTCAACTGCCAGAACGCCATCTCCACTTCTTCCTCCTCAAGGCTGCTCAGGCGGTGACAACAAGGTACCGGTTTCTGTCTTCATGTTTTAGGCTCTTTTTTTTTTGGATAGCAATCTTGCATGTTATTATTTCTATGTGTTCTGATCTTTATGTATTATTTTGGGCTTGTGTGAGGTGTAAAAAGAAAAGGGAAGAGGAAATTATACCTTTGGAGAGGACACGGAGGAATGGACTGGAGGCGTTTTAGGCGGCCGGAGGCGGAGGGAGTATGATGCTGTGCTAGCTTTGTGGCCTTCCCTGGTATTTGTATCTTGATTTTTGTTTTATGATGATAGTTTTCTGAAAACCCCGACTTGTTTGCTTCTTTTCCTCTTTTGAATGCTTGCCCCTGGATGTTTACCTCTGTGGTTTGCTTCTGATTGCTTGCCTCAAACTGCTTGCTTCTGAGTTTGATGATGTTGGCTTTGTTGGATTTTTTCTATAATGATGATTATTTCGAACCTGAGTTGTTTGCCTTTTTTGCTTATGAGTAGCTTTTCCTCTCTTGATGCTATGTTGGCTTTTTACTCAATGATGATTATTTCTGAGAATGACTTTTGCTTCAGTTGTTGTTTGGCTTGTTGATATTGAAATGTTGATGTTGTTCTGATAACTGTATGCTTGTTTCACTTCTGATTTCTTTCCTCTCTTTGGATCTCAATGATGAGTTGTTTGAATCTGAGATCTTTGTTGGATATTGTTGTTTAGCCTATGATGAAGATATTCTGAGGCATTCATTTCTGTTGTTTGGACATTTGGATGGATTTGCTTGATAGGTTTGAAAGGCTTCAAGGTTTGTTGTTTTTTGGCTTGTAGTTGTAACAGGTTTATGTGTTAGGTGGTTACAGCTTCAGGGCTTGTTTCTACCAGTTTTTTTGCTTTGGTTTCAAGGCAGTTTGAAGCTTGTTGGTTTTTTTTGTTCAGGCAGGCATGAGGCTTATTTTGATTTGAAGGCTGGTTTTTGAGTTTACTGGCTTTGAGGTTTGTGGCTTGAAACAGGTTTCAGGACTTTGGCTTGTTTGGCTTGGAGGAAAACAGGCCTGTTGATATCTTGGTTACAGGCTTGGGGATGAACAAGCTGAGGTTTTTTATGCAGGCAGGCTGTTTGCTTGCTTAGCTTGAGGCAAGCTGTTTCTTTGCTTAGCTTGAGGCATGCTTTGGTTTGTGTTATGTAACAGTTTGTGGTATATTGTTTTTGTGATATTCCGCCCCTCCTTTATAGTGTTAATATAATGTTTGTTTTATATCTCCTCAGCTTGCCTTAACAAACTGTAAGCCTATACTTCTTTTACTCTCTTTCTCTCTCTATCAGAAAAGTAAGCATATTTTAGTGCTTTACTGTCTTTTTTTCTGAAAAAGTGATGGCCTGGAAAATGATGATATTTGAAATAAGTTGCTTGCATTGTTAGCTTTGCTCTGTGTACTTTCTTCTTTCTTCAGATTTTATGCATTTTGTATACTTGTTGATATCTCTTTGACAACCTTTTGATAGTTTCTTTGGGTAGCTTGGTTGACATCTCTTTTGGACAGTTTGATAGCTTTGCATTTCCTTGGACAGCTTAGTTTGCCCTTGTGCATTGTTTGTTCAGTTTGAACTTTATAATTTGTTTGGCATATTCAGTTTGTCCATTTGCAGCTTGTTTGAATTTTGAACTGTGCAGCTTTGTATTTTAATTAATTCCAATGCTTGCCTGATAATTTTCTTTCCCTCTTTGTGAACCAAGAGTCTTCTTGTGATTTGCAGAGAGGGTGAACAAACTGATTCCGGCCAACACTTTTAATGATGAGTTTTTTATGATTAACTGTCTGCCCTTTTTAAATTCATCTGCGTTGACTTCTTTCTTTTCTTTTTGCAGGTAAATATCAGTTGAGCAATGGGGAGCATCAGTAGAAGATTAAGACTTAGGAAACTTTAGGATGTAATTTATTTTACTTTTAATCATTGTAATAAATATTATTATAAATACTTGTAAATAATTACTGTATTTAAATAACACTTGTACCAATAATTAAAAATAAATAAAAGTCTTTTTGTCACATATCTCTTTTATTTCACTGTCTATTTAATTATTTAAGTTTTCTTGAATTAAAATAACTGGAAGTAAATCCCAATTATTCTAACTTAGATAAAATAAATAATTAATAAACACTGTAGTCTTGCAACTTCGCATTAATCAATAATAAACCTGGCGTCCCAATTAAC